GGGCAGATTGTGTGATGTCAGAAATTTCTTCATTTCATTTAGGTTATCAAGTTTTTTTCCATATAGGTATACATAGTACTCTCTGATAATTTTTTGTATTTCTTCAGAGTCAGTTGTGATTTGATCTTTTGTATTTCTGATTGTGTTTATTTGGGCTTTCTTTCTCTTTTTTTGGTCATTCTGGCTAGTGGTTCATCAATCTTGTTAATTTTTTCAAAGAATCAGTTCTGTTTTGTTGATCTTTTCTATGATATTTTTGTCTTCCATGTTCCATATTTGGGCTCTTATATTGGTGATTTGGATTCTTCTGTGAAAGTTGGGGTTTTGGTGGTCTTCTCTTTCCAGCTCCCTTAAGTGATTTGTTAGTCTCTCCACTTGTGATCTTTCCATTTTCTTGATGTGTGCTTGTAGAGATATAAATTCCCCTCTTAGAACTGTTTTCATGGCATCCCAGAGGTTTTGGTAGGATGTTTCTTCATTTTCATTTGTTTCCAGGAATATTTCAATTTTTGCTTTGATAACAGTGTTGACCCAGTAGTTGTTCAGCATCATGCTTCTTTTTTTAATTATTTATTTTATTTAAAAAATTTTTTTTATCGATATTTTTTATTTTGATATTGTGGGGTACAGTTAAGGGGTAGGTATACAAATATGCTTCATTCAGGCCCCCTTATTGATAACAGGTGTCTCCCCATCTCCAGACAGAGGTTTACTACCATTAGTCCCATCCCCCCCATAGTTTCCCAACACTGTCAGTCATTTTCTTATAGTAGTGCATTGGATGATCAAGGTCCACTATATGAGTGAGAATATGTGATACTCAGATCTTTGTTTCTGTGAGAGGTCACTTAGTATTATAGACTCTAGTTCCATCCAGATTCCTGCAAAGTTCATAATTTTGTTCTTTTTTTATGACTCCATAGTATTCCATTGTGTATATGTACCACATTTTAAAAATCCAGTCCTCTTTTGATGGGCAGCATGGTTGGTTCCAGGTTCTTGCTATTGTGAACAATGCTGTAATAAACATTCGCATGCAGGTATCTTTTTATAGAGTGATTTGAGTTCTTCAGGGTATATTCCCAGTAGGGGGATTGCAGGGTCATATGGGAGGATGATGTTTAGAGCTTTTAGGAATCGCCACACTGCTTTCCACAGAGGTTGCACTAGTTTACACTCCCACCAACAGTGTAGAAGTGTTCCCTTTTTGCCACACCCTCTCAGGCAGCTGTTATTTTTTGAGTTGTTGATAATTGCCATTCTAACTGGAGTTAGGTGGTATCTTAGTGTGGTTTTGATTTGCATCTCCCTGATGATTAATGAGGTTGAGCATTTCTTCATGTGTCTGTTGGCTGCTTGGATGTCTTTCTTTGTGAAGTGTCTTTTCATATCTTTTCCTCACTTTATAATGGGGTTGTCTGTTTTTTTCTTTTCAGCATGTTTGAGTTCCTTGTAGATCCAGGATGTTAAGCTTTTGTCAGACCTGGAGTTGACAAATACTTTTTCCCAGTCTGTGAGCTGTCTTCCTGCTCTCTTGGTGGTTTCTTTGGCTTTGCAGAAGCTTGTCAGTTTAATGAGGTCCCACTTGTCTATCTAAT